TCTAAACTGGTAGCTTGCAGAAGGTTTTTGAAATGAGACCAGCGGCCAGAGGAAGTTAGGCCAAGGAACTGGTGTGACTAGAGGGCCCACAATTTCCACCCTTGGTTTAGGGCTACCACACTTTTATTTATTTTATTATTTTTCTGCTACCCAGACCAAGGAACCCTGTTTATAGTGAGAGGTTATGGGCACACTGTACTAAAGAAGCTATTTTCTACCATAAGTACTCCATTATATTCAAGATTAGGGATGAGGGAGAAATTTGATTCAGCTGAACCTACTGATGTCACACTTTCCGAAACAATGTGCAAACCGAAAGACAACTACCCTTCAAAATTTGTAATTCCACAGATTCTGCATTGCAGCTCTCCAGTCTAGTAATGTGTATAAAAATAAATATACTAGGGTAAAGTGGGCATATAAGTATACATATCATAGCATACTCTACATGCTCTGGTCCATGGGGTCACGAAGAGTCGGACACGACTAAATGACTAAACAACATCATAGCAAAAATTAAAAGCATACAATATATTAGGGGAAATTCTTATGGGGAAATGTGTATATTGAGCAAAAGTGTATGCAACATGTGAATATTAGGAAAAAATCGCACTAAATTGAATTTTCTTGAAGATTTTTGCTTTTTAATTGCAAACTGATATGGAAAACCAAACTTAAGACTGGAACAAGCAGAACATGGGAGAAAACAAAATTGACAAATTTATTTCCCAGTTTCCTCATTGCTTAAGGGTATTAGGAAATCGAATGCCTCTGTATCTTTTCCTTTACCTTTTCAGAGTGGTGCCAATGTCAATGCTCGCTCTCCTAAGTTTCCAAGTAGTGGGAGAGAATCCCACTCCCATTTAATGGGAATTTCTCTAGCAGGAAGGGTTAGAGGCTGTGACCACTATTCCTGTGTGAAATTAATTGAGCTCCAAAGGTCAGCAGGTCACGGGCAGGCTCATTATGACAAATGATTTCTGTTTGAGAAAGACCTTTGGGGTCATTTCAGATTTCCCCCTAAATTTTGTAATTATGGCTGCCTGAGGCCTTAAGCAAACAAAAACATGTGGAATAGAGGCTGCATGGAGATTAAGTGCAAGGGGTAGGGGTGAAGCAAAGCAGCCTAGTCTGGTAAAACAGGTTTCAAGTTGAGACTGTAAAAGATGGGTGTTATTTCAAAAAGGAGGGAGAATGCTTGATGAGAATTACTGTCCAGCAGACAAGTTTGAAACTTTCTGGTCAACAGTAACTATCTAGCTTATCTCGAGAAAGCGAGATAAGCTATCATTCAATGAGAACTGAGAGTGAGAGAGTTTAGCATCATTTCTGACAAGTATTCCTGTGCTCCATGTCAGCTCAAACAGCCACACTGTGCTACAAACAGCAAAGGTTCTCCAATGGTGGGGTATACTGTTGGGCAGAAGGAAATAAAAGCATGAACTAATATGGACCAAAACCAAGGGGCAACATTCAACTACTGCATCCCATCAGAATAAAGACTTCCCCTCGCACAATGGGACTTGTCCTCCCCCATTTGCATCCCACACCTCTCCCATATTTTCTGCAGAGGGTTGGGGGAACCCCAGAACAGATTTACGGAGGGTGAAGGAGGAGAAGGGGAGAATGTTCTATTGGGCAAGGATGAATCCTTGCGCCGATGGGACAAGATTCTGCCCCAGATACTGGGTGTCCTTGACCCATCTGAAAAACAAATGAATTTATCATGTCACAGGTTTCCACAGGCAAGACCCTACTACATCATCAAACGCGTGAAATAGCCCAGAAAATCTTGCAACACAAATTGAATGTGTTTGTCTTTAACTTGACACGCCACATTAATTGTTTTTCGCACAACAGACTAACAATTAACAGAGCAAATCAAATTCCAGCTGAGCAGTGGTGGGATGTGATGGAGGGGTGGAGCCGTCACTGCATCTGTAGTCCTATCAGTCATGCTGGACACAGCAGAGGTTAAGAGGCAGGTAACAGGGCACAATGCTACCAAGTTAATGCAGTGGAACTTGGTTAGGGACCAGAGGCTCCTGGGCAAGTTCAGGGCCTCCCTGCCTCCAGAAGACCCCATATGAGGGATTTCCATGGGCTGCCACCACCAGCAGTACTTCTGCTCACTCCCACTTTCATAGACAGAACATGGGCAGAAGCTGGCAGAGTAGTTCTGGGCTGGTCAGAGTTAGATCCTGCACCCCTACCCCATCCAATCACCAACCTCCAGCTTTGCAGATCAGGGGTTTGGATTGTACCCTAGATCATATCTCTTATATGAAGGATGTACAGTGGTACCTCAGGTTACATACGCTTCAGGTTACATATGCTTCAGGTTACATACGCTTCAGGTTACAGACTCCGCTAACCCAGAAATAGTACTTCAGGTTAAGAACTTTGCTTCAGGATGAGAACAGAAATCGTGCTCCAGTGGCGCGGCAGCAGCGGGAGGCCCCATTAGCTAAAGTGGTGCTTCAGGTTAAGAACAGTTTCAGGTTAAGAATGGACCTCCGGAAAGAATTAAGTACTTAACCTGAGATACCACTGTATACACCTTTCTAAGCAGTGTAACTAATCTGGTTCCCCCCCCTCCAAAAAATATTGTGAACTGAAGTATGGTGAGGATTTTGCTCATGAATTCTACATATCCAAATAATCTGTCTCATCTGCCTGAAGTTGAGAGGACATTCTCAGTAGTAAACCCAAAGGGCAAACAGTATTTCCCTGGTATGTACATGTCTAACATTTTCTTCCATAAGAAAGTCTGATGTATATGTCAGAGGGATGACCAATATATTTTAGAAACTGTGCAGTCTGGTTTGACATCTTGTGAACTGAAAACCAAAGTCATGAACTTGAGGGTTCTGGCTTAGGACTTTGGAACATCTGGAGATTAGCCATCATGGTTCTGTGGCTTTGGACACAATGTATTATCTGATTTTGGCAGCCTAGTGCAGTTGGAAAAGCAGGTCAGCCACATACTCATTTCTGCCAGGGTGAACACAGATCCATGGCTGATAATGGCTGACCTTTAATTGGACATGGTTATGACTACTACTAGGCTGTTTTGGAAAATACAGTCCAAAGGTTTAGGAAATGGATGTGCCAAGAATACCAAAGTCTTGCTCCGCACAAAGGGCACATCACGCAAGCAACAGAGAACTGCATGTACAGTGCTGACACACAGATACACCATGCCTAGTGCAAGCCTTATACTTATACTAAAGGGGGATTCCTTTTGTTGGAGGTATCATCTGCTAATTCACTTTCCACAACAGGATTGGTCATTTCTGGTACAACAGATTTGTGAATGGAACCTTTTAGTTTCTGCAGATCTTGACTGCGGGTATCGGTAGTGACCTGTGTGATACAGTGGTACCTCGGTTTTTGAACGCAATCTGTTCCGGAAGACCGTTTGTGTTCTGAAATGTTCAAAAACTGAAAACTCAATAGCCGACAACTAGGGCTCAGGATCTTGCACTCAACAGAAGCCATGTGGTATGTTCGACTTCTGAAGCGTGTACGAAAACCAAAGCATTTACTTCTGGGTTTACGGCGTTCGAAAACAGAAATATTTGTCAATGGAGAAGTTCGAAAGCCAAGATACCACTGTACCTAGATGGGACAGGAGTGAAGTGGAGGAGGGTGGTGACAAAGTCAGGTCTGTACCAGAAAGAGAGATGGATTGCTCTACTGGCGTGCCTCTATGAGCCCCACCTTGCTGTTGCCCTGCCCCTCCCCAGCCTTGTCTAGGTAAGCTTGAGAGATACCAATGTCAGGAGGGCAGCTCCACCTCACCACATGGGCCATTACTGATGTATATTGTATTTGCCCATGGGATCTCCTGGATTATAAACTTCACCTCCTTCCACAAGCATCATTGAAGCTCAGGATATCTTGCTGGCAGCTCTCTCCTCACGCGAAGACTTAAGCTCAACAAGATAAGACAGCTTCTATAGTAAACATCTTTTAAAGTATCTTACCAACCTGACCATAACCCAAAGCTAACAATCAGCTGACCAGGTCACATGAGGCACCCGCAGGCCTTCTGTGTACTTGCATTTCCTGTAACGTGGCAGAATCCACTAAGGCACACAATGCAGGTACATTATACACACATTACAAGAGACAGATTAATGGGAGGATAAGAATGTAAGACACTGCCTTATATCCAGACAGATAATTGGTCCAACTAGTTCAGTATTTTTTGACACTGGTTGGCAGTTGCTCTCCAAGGTTTCGGGCAGGCATTTGGGATGTTTTAACTGCCTTTATAGTTCAGCAAACTCTACAGAATTGTGAGATTTGTTATTTTTTTACGGAAAAATCCAAATGTCATCCGGCATGCTGATTTGGTTTGTTGTTGAACTGAAAGGATAACAAAAGAATTACAGGACATATGCAAAGATCCAACTTGTAATACAAGCCTTAGCTTTTTCTTTCTTTCAGGAGTTGGACATGACATCCAAAACTGATGTTGAAACTCTCAGAAGGGCATTTGCATGTGAGAATTTGCATGTACAGAAGCAGTTAAGCTTGGGGGGAGGATTTCCTTCCAGCCAGGAAAAAAATCTCTTCATTCAGCTTTTCTCTGCATTCCTTGTTATTTTGTCAAATGCAGACTTGTGGCCATACATTTACGAAGAAATACCTACTTTTACCCGTGGAGCTGACACCTAACTTTCGCTTCACGCAAAATTCCAAGTGAACTGAGATGGGGAGATCCTCCACACTTGAAATGTTTTAGGAACTTTCGTTTTAGCTTTGATTTGAGATAATAGTAACACAGTGCAATTCTATGCATGTCTACTTAGAAGTAAGACGCCTTGAGTTCAGTGGGACCTATTCACAGGTAAGTGTCCATAGGATAGCCACCTTCATTTATTTGCTCTCTAATTGTCAGAAGAATAGCTACATTGCACGATAGATAGATAGATAGATAGATAGATAGATAGATAGATAGATAGATAGATAGATAGATAGATAGATAGATATCCCCAGTGGCACCTTAGAGACCAACTAAGTTAGTTCTTGGTATAAGATAAAGAAGTGTGCATGCACTCGAAAGCTTATATCAAGAACAAACTTAGTTGGTCTCTAAGGTGCTACTGGACAATTTTTGCATTTTTTAAAATGTATTTTGACTGCATCAGACCAACATGGCTACCTACCTGAATCTACATTGCACATAGTGAAACCACAGTCACTGCCATATTTTGGCTCTCATAATCTGAAGGTCTGCTGAGGTTCATTGATGTCCTACAAATATTCCAGCATGTTGCTCCTCACCTGTGAGTAAATATGATGTAAGTTGGTATGGGGTTTCCAGCTATTTTTATTGCCCTTCCAGTGACATTATTTGTGTTGACACAAAAAAGTGACTGCCTTTGTCTTGACCTGAAAATTCAGATATGTCAAAAAAAGGAAATGTGAGGTGATGAAATTCATTGCATATATCACCAATGCAATGCAGGATGCTGTCATCTATATATTCATCTGAAAATAACATATAGATAGATACAGTTATTTTATTTTTCTTATGAAGATTTATTTACTATATATATTGTAAGATCTGAAAATAAGACAACAGGAAAACAAGACAACATGGCCTTTCTAAACTCCACATTCATAATGATGTGCTAACAGTAAGCTTGGGAAATGTCCAGAAATGAACACACTGCTCCCAGTGCACAACTCAACAGCCCATTTAAGCAATTTGAATATCTTTTCAGATTTCCATTTGACTTTTTCTTAATCTTTTTGTTCCCTTTAGGCACTCTACCAATGATGTTAGGTTTCTTTAGCAGCAAAAAAGTTGTAAAAATTGTGTTGAGCAATGATGAAACAAAAATTGCTTTTCTAGAATGAGTAACTGAATGGGCTTCTGATCTTGATTAATGATCCCAATCTTACCGTGGCGACGGATGGGAGATTCCTTGGTGGAGCACCACATCCAAATCACTGCTGACTAGCCACAGTCAAGGCGGAAAGTGATGTTGGTGGGCTTTTTCTCTATTAACCTCGGCAACAATATAAAACAAAATAACATAAAATGAGCAGGGAATATAAACAAATGTTCAAACAATCCAGTTAATCAAACAGTAAGAGAGAAACTGTATGGAGTAAATCAAATAACTACTGGTAACTGTTAACAACCAAAGTTAACATCCAAAGTTTCTTTCTTTCTTTTTTCCTTCCTTCCTCAGCACATCTGCACTATTTTACCTGTGCATCGCTTCACCTAGATACACCTTATTAATTCAATCTCCTAATGCCTGTCAGGAGAGGCTGATCATGGCTATTTCACAATCCTTGATTCAGCTGCATTGCAAAATCCTCTCTCATGGTGACCCGCTATTCTCTCCCTTCATCCCCCAAGAAGCAGATCACGTCTACTGTGGACATCCATGTGCAATTTTACATGTTCACCATCGAAGGGAAACAAATGAATAGACTTAATTTTCAGTTATAACACAGATATGTGGGAAGGAAGAGTATGAAGATTTGTTACATTTTGGCAGTGAAGAACATAAAAATCTGACACGACAGCTAATCTAGGAGAACCCCCTGATCCTTGAACTGTAGTCTTGCAAAGCAAAATGTAGATTGAATTATCTCTTTTGATAGAATATTTTTATCAGCAAAAGAGCCCACCAGCCTTTTTGGCCTGAGTGCTTCCCTCTTTAGTAATTCCTCTTTTTAGCATTTCAGCAGCCTGCCTAGTTGCCAATACTTCCTTGATTGAAAGTGCCTCAAATTGCCACACACAAGAATTGATGGGCGAGATCCAGAATGTTCAATTAATGCTTTGCAGCTTGCCATTTCAGAAAAAGGGTGGGGGGGAGGAAGAAAAGAAAACCTACAGTAGATTTCCTCCCCACCCCAAACATTAAAAGGGATTCCTCATCTCCACCTCTTCTTTCGATTCCAACTGCCCCAGCTGGAAACCTTCTAGGCCTTTTAAAAACAGGATTAAAAAGGCAGTTTTCTGCATTAGCACAGCTCAAAAGGATAACCTCAGCTCTTTTCTCTGCCAGGCAGCTTTTTAATCCCGAATCACATGTCACTTCAAATTATGAATATGATTTTCACGTCCCCCTCGGGCCTAAATTTCACCCAAGTAAATCCTCTCATTCAGCAGCTGGAGAAATGTGTCAAAAGCAGTGATCTTCAAGTGCCGAGAGAGCTCTGGGAGAGATCAAACTGTCCCAGCCTGAACTCTCTCAGTGCCAGCCATCGTTTTTCCTCTTGCTTATCGCTGTTGACACCCCCGTCAGTTAGAAAGGCTGAAAGGGCACGACTGAAGAGAACTGCACTCTGCCATTCTGAATTTCTGGGGTTGACTTCTTGCTTCCCTCTCCCCCCGCACCAACCCCACCTCCGCCCTTCTTCTTTGGGAAGGATGGGGGGAAAGCTCTGAGGAGATTGGACATAAAATACCCTGACAGATTCCTGCATTCTTTGATCTGTTTTTACAGACTGCTAAATGTGCTCAGCCAATCAGATTAACCGAAGGGCCAAATATCCCAACATTGTTTCTTCATTTGAATTATAAGACCAAGGAATGCAAACAGCAGCAGCAGCAAAACAATGCACGCACACAAACATTTTTCAGAATACTAAAAAAGCCTTGTTGCATTAGTACAAAACAAGACCCATTTATTCTACATTCTGTCTCCAACAGCAGCTGACCAGGTGATTCTGGAAGCTCACAAGCAATGTGAGGCTCAAACTCATGACCCTGAGATAAAGAGCCTCATGCTACTGACTGAGCCCTTCTTGTGGTGTATCCTGTACTGTAGACCTTGCATTGCACAGAAGCTTGGACTGCATGACCTCAAAGGAAACTTCCAACTCTAAAACTCTTTGATTCTGTGCCCAGCAAAATCCAAACGGGCTCTCCTAGGCATGACAGAGCATCCTCCAAGCAAACTGTTTTATCTATTGCTAAAATGAGATAAATCAAAATGGAAGAAGGTTCAGAAAAGGGCAATCAAATTTATCAAGGTATGGATCAACTCTCCTATGAAGAAAGGCTGCAGCTCTTGGGACTTTCTAGTTTTGGGAGAATAAACAAGTAAAAGGTGACTTGACATAAGTTTACAAAATTATGCATGGCAAGGAGAAAGTGGATAGAGAATAATTTTTCTCCCTGCATCTGTTGGAAGATGCAGGGCAGATAAAAGCACATAGCTAGACTATGGAACTCACTCCCACAGGAGACAGTGGTGGCCACCAACTTGGATGGATTTTTAAAAAAGATTGGAACAATTCATGGAGGGTAAGGCTATCAATAGGGACGCAGGTGGCACTGTGGTCTAAACCACAGAGCCTACGGCTTGCCAATCAGAAGGTTGGCAGTTTGAATCCCCGTGACGGGGTGAGCTCCCGTTGCTCGGTTCCTGCTACTGCCAACCTAGCAGTTTGAAAGCAAGTCAAAGTGCAAGTAGATAAATAGGTACCGCTCCAGCGGGAAGGTAAACAGCATTTCCATGCGCTGCTCTGGTTTGCCAGAAGCAGCTTAGTCATGCTGGCCACATGACCCGGAAGCTGTTTGCTGGCTCCCTCGGCCAGTAAAGTGAGATGAGCACCGCAACCCCAGAGTCGTCCGCGACTGGACCTAACTGTCAGGGGTCCCTTTACATTTACCTTTAAGGCTATCAATGGCAACTAGCCATGATGGCCCTGCCCTGCCCTGCCTCCACAGTCAGCTGCAGTGATGCTTCTGAATTAAGTTGCTGGAAGCTACAGGAGGGGAGAGTGATCTTTCGCTTGGGTCCTGCTTGCAGGTTCCTCAAAGGCTGTGAGAACAGATGCATTTGCCTGATACAGCAGGCTGTTCTTATGCTGTTACTTTTTTAAAGCCCCCCTTTTTTAACTGAAAAGTTTCTGAGGTCCAACAAAAGCATAAACATAAATATTGGATTCCACAAGCTGCCATGCAATAACTATATAATGTTTGTACTCTGTTCAAGATTACCACTTTCCCCATTCCTAAATACAGAGTATTTCTCTATAGATGAATCAAACGGTCATCAGATTTTTAATTTAACAAAACAGTTTTTCATTTCCATGCTTCTGAATACACATTGCTAAGTTAATTTTTACATAATAGTAGACTGAATGGCCTTTTAAGCCAGTGTAACACAGTTGATACTGTCATGGATTTCCAATGTAGAGCAGCACTACGTTTTGCAGAGGCAAACAGCTTCTTAAGCATATCACCATAAGTTACAATAAATGTCTATGTCAGGGGTCAGCAAACCTTTTCAGCAGGGGGCTGTTCCACTCTCCCTCAGACCTTATGGGGGGCTGGACTATATTTTGAAGAAGAAAAAAAGAACAAATTCCTATGCCCCACAAATAAAAGAATACATTCCACTCACGTAAAAATACACTGATTCCCGGACCATCTGCGCGCCGGATTGAGAAGGCGATTGGGTCGGATCCAGCCCCTGGGCCTTAGTTTGCCTACCCATGGTCTACGCCACCCCCCGTCTCTCCTTCCTTCCTTCCTTTTTATTTTGCTACTACTGTGTTAGACTCTGGTACACATGTGATGCAGGTTTTCACGTTTCGGAATCCACATTAGGGCAATACACACTAGGTCAACCAACATACAGTAATACAAAATAGTTTGCAAGACTTTCAGTTGTCTTCATCGGGCTGTATGTTAAACTAAACAAGGTGTGTATTGGAGGAAAGGGGAGAAAAATATTTAACTGGTGTTGTTGGAGCCGGGGATGGAGTCTGCATATAGTCACAGTCTTAAAATAGAATGTGGAAGGAGGTGGCAGACATTGAAATGAGACTTTGCTTGGTTTTCAGATGGCAGTGGCCATAACGTTTTAAATAACATTGATTGATAGCAATCTCCCATAATCTCAAGATGGGGCTTTCTCACTGTACCAATTTGGTGAATGGTTAAAAAAAAAAAGTGGTGAAATTTGCATCCTGATGCCGGAGTTAGGGTGTTGCTTAGGAGAACTTTGATCTGCAACCTGCATATTTCCACTATGAGACACACTACTTAGGGAATTCCCCCCTGTGGAGGGTGGAGGTGTTGTGAAATCAAGATCTGGGAGATCTAAGGAGAGCCAAGATAAGGTGAAGAT